ATTCAGTTTGTGTTTTGTCCAAATCCTGAAACCTTTTGACAATAGCTTGTCTGTGTGTGTATATATATATATATATATATATATATATATATATATATATATAAAATTGTGCATTTGGGCAGCAATACCTCTTTTATGTAAGTTTCATTGAAAATGACTGATAAGGTGTGGTGGTTGAGTTTTTTTATATAGTTTCTCAAGTGTTCATATAAATGTTTTCTTTTCAGGACATAAATTATATAAAAATTGTCTGAATATTTTCCAAGCACTTTTGGCTAAATTTTTAGTCATTATTTCCTATAACTCTATACATAAAATAAAATACATACATAAAACAATGAATATTTTCAATTAAAAGTAAAGTAAAATTCATCCTAGATAATGGCTAAATACAATAAAAACATTAAACAAACATCTCTTCCTGTTGAATTCAATAAAACTTGTTTGCCTGAATATTTGCACATATATATAATACCACTTTAAGTCAAGCATGCCACCATATTCCTGATCAGATAGAAATTGTGGCTGCATTTGCGTCTTTTTTTATGGAAGAGCACACATTACAGGTGAACTGGAAGTCATCTGGGATTGGACAATAAATTGCCAAGAGGAGTTGTGGAAGATGGAAAAAATTGTAGCTAATTGAAGGTACACAAGTTGATATGCAATCAGTATCGGCTGGGTCACTATGGAGAGGGGGTATAATGTTGAAAGACCCGAAACCCCTAATGAACCTTGGCGAGAAACATCACTGATGATGTGTACTAAAGCATCCAATAGATATATTTTATGAAATATATATATATATATATATATATATATATATATATATATATATATAATCTCAAAACATAATTTATCATCTCTTGCTGCATGAAATTAGGCTTTGCTAAGAAGAGCCCATGCTTTTATCAATTTAATAATGTTGAAAGTAAAGTCAATTTTGTGATATTTAATGTTAAGCAGGTATATGGATTTTGTAAGTAGCACAAGTAAGCTGACCACTTAGAGAATGACTTTCTTCACTGGAAATTAAAGTTTTCTTTTTCTGAAATAAATTTGTTGTAATTAACCCCAAGAAACCCACAATTGATGGAACCTAAGACTTTTTGCACAACAACGGTAACATTATCTAGTAAGTGCATTTGTTTTTTAGATGAAAAAAGTTTTTTTTGTAGTATTCTTGTTGACAGGTTTTGTTGAAAGATATGGCTCACCAAATATGATAATAATCATGATATTCTATGAGTCTTTTGGCTGTTAGGGTGACAAGGTGCACTGTGTTATCTCCATCCATCTGAGGGTGGTCTAGGAGTGCCTAGCATTGAAATTTATCAACATATGCTACACCTCAAATTTCTAGATCCAGGAAACAAGGAATAAACCTCTACTGTTCAATAGAGGAGGAGTGTGAACTGGGCAGTAGGCGAATCTCTCTACTCCTATTTGAGGAATGAATATAACAGCAACTTCTGGAAAGAAGACACTAAGAAAGCCTTTCCAGCCTGAGGACGAGAGGGTGGCTTGCTGTTACACTGGAATACAAGAGCTGAGCATTTATTTCGCAGTAGCATTGTACAGATGTTGTGCAAACTAGTTGAAGGCTACAGGGCCCACATGCTAGGTGGAATGTTTTTTGTCCTTGAATTCAGTTCTGCTTGTAGTAATATTGTGCTGCAACTGAACAAGAATAAACACTATGATTTCTTGTGCTTACTCAGTATTATGCAAGTTGTAATTTGGACAATGTGACAGAAAGAATTTTATGAAAGTGAAAAGTTCTTATCTTCGCAACTGATTTTGTGCTTTAAGAACCAGCTTAAAGTCAAAATTAATGCAGAAAGTAAGTGTCTCTCTTTAGTGAAGTTCAGTAAATTGGGGTGTGTTTTACAATTGGTTCACTTAAAAGGGGCTAATTTAGATGTGAGCTAAGAATAAGGATATTGACTCTCTGATTATACAGGTGTCACCCTGGTCTGGTGTTAGGGTAACTTATGTTGTTTTATTTTTAGTTTAGTCCTTTGACTTTAACTTAGCTACAGTATGGAAGGTCACTGGCCCCTTTTCTTTAGTTTAATTCCTCTTCCCCTTCTCATTAGATGACAAAGATTTCAGTTCTTTGGTTGTGTGTGTATTTTCATAATTGTTATTGCATCTAAATGTGTGAGTAATAGTGTGAGTGATTATACGTGTGCATGATTGAAATTATATTAATCCCACAGTATTTTTTTGTCCAGTTATTTTTTACTCTTCCAATATTAGACTGTGGGGGTTTCAACTTACTAACACTCATTTTACTTAGTTGTGTAAATAATTTTTCTTTCATTGTAAATACACATTGGTAATAAAATTATTACCCACACTCCTACAAAAACTGTACATATGGGATTAGGTAGAACAATATGATGTTATGGTGACTGTATTGTGCAAATGAGTTGTTTTGGTGAGAGAATCCATATTCAAATGAGTGGGTTGGTAGCTGAGTTAACAATAGGACAAGTAATGGCTAACCCTCTCCTTCTCCCCTTTTTACCCTTGTGGCTTATTTGTACTGATTTATGCAATAAATATTGGAGTTTTGGTGAGTATCAAAGCATAGTATTTCTCTATTTTTGCCTCATTTGAGATGGGAGAAAGCACCTCGTCCTGGGAATTCCAACCTTGCGGCAGCACCTTCCTCATTGCACTAAGAGAGGTAGGATTGGTGTAATATCGACGTCAGTGTGACAGTGGTCATGGGCAATTTTTGACCTTGGCCCATATGCACATGGATGTGGATAGGCAACCCACATAAAAAAGACATTGTGTCACATCCTGCCTTAGTGGGGTGGTTAGGTAAAAATAACTCCTATGAGCTACAGGTGTTATCACTGGAGATGATTACAGGTGTGCGTTCTCTACCCTCATCTCTTTCAAAATATTTTCAATCTGTTTTATAATTAAAAAATAAAATCAATAACAGAGAATACATTGAAAACAAATAAAAATGTTGAGTGATTATATTGGCCAATAAATTTATTTAAATCTTGTCAAAACAAAATTGTAATTTTGTAAATAATTTGGAACCGCTTTCAACGGTCGGATAACTGAAAGTTTTAAATTGAAGTTTTGAAACATGATTATTATTACAAAAGATTTTCCTTCTTGTTCTATTATTTTTTTTATTGGATATACTTTAAATTTCAAATTAAAAAAAATACCGCGATAAAAATTAAAAAACTAGACAATGAATAATAAGAAAATGATAAAAAAAAGAACCATTTTTTCATCACCCCGGCCCTGTCTATACGATACTCAGAAAAAAAAAAGCTTTTTCAATTCGCAGGGACTGTAGATAAAAAAAAATAAGTTAATAAATAGAGGTTAATTTTCACTACAATTCTTATCAAAAGTTTTTAAAAATCACTCAATTGAAGTAACGAAAGAACTGTTCATTTTTTTTTTTTTATCTCGCAACAAAATATTTTCAGCAATTAAGAGGTGTATTACTTTTGTTTTTTGAAGCAAAAATTTAGAATATCAAACTATTGCATAAAAACACGTCTGAATCGGTTAATTCTTAAAAAAAAAAAAAAAAAATTGTATTTATAAACATTTGCGAATAATATGACGCTCCCCGGTATCACGGCTGCTCAACGTTCTGCTTTTTCCTCACTCGCTCTAAAAGTCTTTCACTCCCCTTCACTCTCAGTCTTTACATACTTTTACATCTCAATTCTCGCAGTTTCCCGAAATTTCTACCGAGAGGAAAAACCTGATGGAAAGAATGAGAAATTTCAGGACGAATTTCGGAGTAGCCAATGAAAATGCCCGTTCTACTGAATTTTGGCGTATACTAGGTATTTCAGCCAATCACAAACGTTCTTACGAAGGACTGTTAGGCTATAATTTCGAGACCCTTCTTTGCCTGTGAGCCACTTAGAACGAAAACTAAAGACGGTGTGGAGCGATCCGTCTTTTGCTGGCCGATGCCGCAGCAGGTGAGTGATTATATGATGTAAATGTGAAGCTATTTTCACCGGACTAATCGTTTAAATGCACGTGTACTGAAAACGAAAAAAAAAAAAACTAAATAATTGTAACCGTGGACTATTCTGAAAAAAGAAAAAGTCTACAAAAGAAAGAGACCCGCGCATACACACGCACGCACACACACACATACATACACGCAAACAGTAACACACGCAACAAGAAGTTGTATCATAAAAGTAATAATATTAATAATCTTCTTCATTATCTCTTCTCTATCCGAAAACAAAGTCTTTCTTTAAGGAAGATCAAACAAGGAAGAGAAATCAACGGTTGCTCGGTTAACTGACAGTTTTTCGTCTTTTCATTCTTCTACATTTCATTTCCAGAAGCCTTCTCTTTTTTTTCTTTCTTTTTTTTTACTTGGATTTAAAGCAACAAAAAGGAAAATTGAATTGAATAGTAAATAATTTTTGCACAAATACGACGCCGGAATAATAAGCAAACCAATTATCACTTAATAAAAAACAAAACACGCAAGACTTTGTATTTTTTTTAAAAAAAAAAAAAAAAGATCCTGACTCTTAAAAATACGTGTGGTATTTATTGATAATTGACTGAAATCCCTTCTGGACTTTTCTGGGAATATTCCTTCGAAAATAAAGAGGAGGAAAAAAAAGGGAGAAAAATCTCCGCTGTCTTTGCTAACTCCTATTTCTCATTTATCTTTTTTTTTCCCTTTTCTTTGTTACCTAATCAGTCTCTCTACCTACACTGAAGATTTCTTTGTTTATTTTTTCATCAATTTTGTGGACTTCTCGTTGATGTGATCAACGAATTTAATTTAAACCGCTTCATTGATTAATAATCGTATTTCTTCAACACTGCGTCTCGTCTTTCAAAAAAAAAAAAAAAATTTTTTTTCTCCTCAGAAATTCAGCTTTAACAAAGAAAAAAAACCCTCAACATTTACACACAAACTAGTGTGTATATAATTAAATATTTAGGTGATTTAATTAATCGTCCTTATCATGTCTGTGGTGGGGATCGACTTCGGAACCCAATCGTGTTATATTGCTGTGGCCAGGACGGGTGGCATCGAGACTATTGACAATGAATATAGCGATCGTTGCACCCCGAATTATGTTTCCTTCGGAGATAAGGTCCGATCTTTGGGACACTCGGCTAAGAACCAGTGTATCACGAATTTTCGAAACACCATTTTCTCCTATAAGGATCTGCTTGGCAAACTGCATTCCGACGACAGCGTTAAGTGTTTGAAACGCCGTGTACCCTACACAGTAGTAGCTGGTGAGAATGATCAGCCCCTGGTCGAAGTGAAATACCGGCAGGAGACCTACCCGTTCACCCCGGTGCAGATCGCGGCCATGATGTTAGGAAAACTGAAGGAGACTGCCGAAGCTGCTCTCAAAACCAAAGTAACCGATTGTGTCGTGTCTGTTCCGTCTTTGTATACTGATGTTCAGAGACGGGCTATGTTGGATGCCTGTCAAATGGCTAACTTGAACTGTCTTCGTTTGATGAATGACACAACAGCTGCAGCACTTGCCTATGGAATTTACAAACAGGATCTACCCGAAGAGAATGAAAATCGCAGGGTGGTTATTTTTGTCGATATGGGTTATGCTCACTTACAAATTTCCGCGTGTGCTTTTAATAAAGGCAAACTGAAAATGTTGGGAGTGTCTACAGCCGAGATTGGAGGCCGCGATTTTGATGAAGTCATCCTGAACTATTTTGTTGAGGACTTCATGCATCGCTATAAGATAGATGCTCGCTCAAACAAAAAGGCAATGATTCGCTTGATCCAAGAGTGTGAAAAACTAAAAAAGCAGTTGAGTGTCAACACTCAGCCATCACCCTTCAATTTGGAGTGCTTCATGGACGACAAGGATGTTTCTGGAAAGCTTGATCGTGCAAAATTCGAAGAGATGTGTGAGCCATTCCTGAAGAAGGCTGAAGAAACAATGAAGGACATTTTGGTCAGTTGCAACCTTCAACCCTCTGACTTGCATTCTGTAGAGATTATTGGTGGTGCCTCACGTATTCATTCCATCAAACAGTTGGTAAAAACCATCTATGAAACGGAACCAAAGACCACAATGAATGCTGATGAGGTGGTTGCCCGGGGCAGTGCTTTGCAATGTGCCATCTTATCACCAACTTTCCGTGTCAGGGACTTCAGTATTATTGATTGCCAGCCATACAGCATCACTGCATCTTGGGATGCAGATGATGATGAAAATTCTAAATTGGAAGTTTTCCCAAAATTTCATGTTGTCCCATTTGCCAAAATGCTTACTTTCTACCGCAAAGAACCATTCCAACTGAGAGCAAGTTACTCTCCTTCGGAGCAGGTCCTTGAAGCCCACAGACATATTGGCTCTTTCAATATTGATAAAGTAGTACCACAAGCCAGTGGCGAAAAGTCTAAGCTTAAAATCAAGTTAAGAGTTAATATACATGGCATTTTGTCAGTTGTCTCTGCAACCATGGTTGAGAAAGTGGAAGGTAGTGAAGAAACAGAAGAGATGGATGTTGAGAATGCTGAAGAGATTGTTAATAATGAAAAGAATACTAATGAAACCAATCCAGCAGAAAAGAATGAAGAAGATGTCCAAATGAATTGTAGTACAGAAAAAGAAGCTCCAAAAGAAAATGGTGATGTTAAACAAGACTCTCCTAATGAAGAAAAGAAGGTAGAAACTCAAACAAATGTTAAGAAAAGCAAAAAGGTAAAAATGGTGGACCTACCAATTGAACCTGTTGTTCCACAATTATCAAAAGAGGAACTAAATTTCTATATTGAGAGAGAAAATCAAATGAAATTTCAGGATAAACTTGAAAATGACCGTGCAGATGCCAAAAATGCTGTTGAAGAATATGTATATGAAATCCGTGAAAAGATTTATGGCCCTCTAGAAAAATTTATAAAGGAGGAAGATCGTTCTGTGCTGAGCAAAATGTTAGATGATACAGAAAATTGGCTCTATGAGGAAGGTGAAGATGAAAAGAAAGAAGTATACATTGACAAACTTGCTGAATTAAAAAAGATGGGGCAACCAGTCATAAACAGATACAGGGAAGCTGAAGAACGACCCCAAGCTTTCAGTGAACTTGGCAGCACTTTGCAAAGTGTGCACAAAGCTCTTGAATTGTATGCTAACAAGGATGAAAAATATGATCACCTTCTACAATCTGACATTGAAATTGTTGAGAAGGATTGGAAAGAGAAACTTGAGTGGTTTGAATTACATCAGAACTTACAGAACCAAATGAGCCCAGATGTGGACCCTGTAGTCACAGTAATACAGATTCGCACACAAAAACAATCTCTTGAAAATACCTGTTATCCCATTTTGAACAAGCCGAAACCCAAGGTAGAGGCTCCAGCACCTGCTGCTGAGCCTTCTACTGCTAATCCGGACCCTACTCCTGACTCTGCTGCTTCAACGGCAACAGAAGACAATATGGAGAACCAGGAAGTTAAACCCGAAACCACTCAGTCTGCTGATAGTTCTAAAACAGAAGAGAAAATGGATGTTGATTAGAGAGGAAAAAAAAAAATATACACACACACACACACACACACACACACACACACACACACACACGCACATACACTTGCTTAAAAAATAGTATAAAAATAAATGAGTTTTGTAAATGGAAGAAAAGTCAACAGAATGGAAATTTACCAGCAAAATATTTTCTTCCATTTTCATTCTGACCAGATGTTATTGGTTTTGTAAGGGAAAATTTCCAAGGGAAAAAAAAAGTTCCAGCCAAGGATGGACACTTGTTGAAAGTAAGAAATATCAGACACTTTTGACTCATTTGCTGCAATGTAATACAGTTTGCAAACTATTTCATTTCCATGTTGTAAATCTGTGAATGAAAGTATTTGTATGCAGCCTGACCATTTTTGTTATCACTCTGTTGTCGTTCTTCATCTGTTTTTACTATTACTAACCACTTGAAACAAAAAGGGAAAGATTGGAATCTGGCCAAAAGCTGTAACATTCTGATCTTAGTATAATAAAAATCAAAATAAAATAACTTTGTTTATTTTAGTTTTTATTGTGGGTTTTCTGGATTACTGAACTCCTATACAGCCTCCAGTTGACTTTATACCTTAAAAACTGAAAAGATGCTTAATCTCTGAACTTGAAGTTGAACTCAGTTCAGCCCCCACCCTGCAAAGAAAACCTTCTTCCACTTCTTTCCTTCCTTGTTTGCTTACCAGAAAATATAATTTTTTTAATGTATTTGTTTGCAATGTTCAAGTTAGCAAATCTCGTTATTTGTTTTGGCTTAGGTTTGCTTTACCATAAATATCTTCCCTCTTAAACTATCTAACCTTATTACAACCCGCTGTATATTGACAGTAATAAACACCTAACAATGCTATTTAAATTTATTGATATGAATAATAAATCTCTAACTCCATTCAACATTATCTTTGTCTCTGTGCTCCTGTCTATTTTAATACTTTTTAGTTTAATTTTTTTTTTTTTTTTTTTTTTTTTTTTTTTTTTTTTTTTTAGGATTATGAACAATGTTTTTAAGTTTTGTATTTCAGTTTACATGTGCAATCCATAACGATCTGTGAGATTTTATGCATTTTCTTTAAGGTTTTATTAATTTTCCAGTTGCCTTTCAGCATCGAGCCAAGGGCAGGTAACTCGTTGGTGCTGACCACGAGTCTTCACGAGACTGAGAAAGCGTAAAATAAAATTCTTTTGCATGTGATAAGAATTTTAGAAATTGGTTAATTAAAAATTTCCTCTTAATGATCGATCGATCAAAGTATGGCTTTAAAGTCTATTTACAAACTATAATCATTCCATATGAGTCGTGTACAATCCTTCCCCCACCCTTCTTCAGAAGGATTTGATAACTTTTTAGTTTATCTTCGGTCTTCGCATATGCTCGCATCGATTTTGTGAAGTCCAGATGATGGCATTGGAAAACCTTATATATATATATATATAATGAAAAAAAAGTCTGTAAAATTAAAAATAATCAATTTCTCTTTCCTAATTTAAAAACAAAAAATCTTGATCGAATATAGTGTACTGTAGAGTTATTGTCCAAAAAGTCTACTGACAAGTGTCATTAATTTTTTTTTTTTTTTAAATCGTATGTTTTGGTTGGGGATGCTACTGCTTTTTGTTAGGTAAACAATAACTATCTTATAACTATGATTGATGAATATCATTTTTGTCTCGTTAAAATTCTACTTTTTTTTTATTCTAGGTTTGAGAGAACTCTGTTTAAGTTTTAATTTATTTGTCTTTATTTCATAAGTTTTGTTTTGTTACTTTGCTCACGTTTATTGGGAGGGGGGGTTAATGTTGCCAAGTAGACCTAATGAGTTTTTACGGAATGTAAGTAATCCGTGTCAATCGTGATTTTTATACTTTATTTATTTTTTCAGACTAACACTTAAAACATTTTGAAATATCCACATAGTTTTTTTTTTCAATCCTTCATGGTCTATCTATTTTAATATTTCCTTTTTAGGACTTTATAATAATAGTGCCAATCAGATATACAGTAAAAAAACAATGTTTTAAATGTTAGTGATTGCTAGACTTGGAATTTTAGAGGACAAATATCAAGTGTGGCAGTTTGAATAGAAACTCCTTGATGAAAATGTACACTAGACATGTATTTTGGTAAAATTATAGCTTTCAAAAAAATGCTTAAAATTGTTAATTTAGCTAACAGGTATATAAAGTATTGTGATTCTTTGAGAATTTATTTCAGGTCATTCTTGACATAAGTCTATCTATTGCAGGCATGTCAAAAATATCTTTGTAAGATATCCATTCTAATTTTGATTGTGGGAAAGTGAAGATTTGTATAAATACATATGAAATGACACACTTGTAATTTTTTTTTTTTTTTATGATAGTGAATGGTACTAATAACTGTGTATGAGTGACTGAACTTGCTTTAAATTATAATATTGACATGGCAGATTGAGCATATGTGTGCATTAGTGCCTGCATATTTTATGCTTGATAAATTTGAATCTTAAATTGACTTAAATCCATTTTTTTTTTTTTTTTTTTTTTTTTTTTAAATATAACCTAAAGTCTCCAGTAAAGAAGTTAATTGGTGACAGTCCACTAGACTTCTTCATTGATGCAATAACTATAGGAAGGTTTGGTTTTGTATCTTAAATTTTTTTTTTGCCATTAGCCTGAGACTAGTTTTTTTGTTCAGGCTTATTGCTGTTGCATTATTCTTATATGAAAGAATAAATTCTTGATTAATCAAATAGCACACTAAAACCACAAGTGTGCAAGAACTAATGTACTGTTTGAAAATATCTTCTGGTTTTATGCTTGTCTGGTGTTTAATCAACTTATTTGACTTTGTTCACTTTTCATTTGATAGCTTATTGCAGATTACATTTGCTGATCAATTTTTTTTTCACCTGGAATTGAATCCACAAAAAGTAACTACTAGATGTGTTGTCTTGAGAGTGCAGAATAACTTTTTTTTTTTCCAGTGACATACAATGTGTCACTTAGCATCTTAAAATGTCAGTACCTAAAGTGCTTGATTGGAGATAGGTGTGGCAGATTACATTTTGAATCTGTAAAATTTCAGGCACTTGTAATTACAGAGCTTTGTGTGTTCTCTCTCTGACACACATACACACACACACACTATATTTTTCTATTTTTATGGATACAACTTATTTGAGTAAATGCTCTGTTTTAATTAAACAGTATTAATTACATTTACTGGCCTGAATGTTAAAAATTTTGTAGAAAATATGCATTCACCAACAAGAATCGAACCTGTTAGACAATGCACATTTTCTATGAATTTTACTGGTTGGTAAATGTAATTAATACTGTTTAATTAAAACAGCATTTACTCAAATAAGTTGTATCTATGAAAATAAAATATAAGCGAAAAATATTAGTCATATTTAATCTATAGTGTGTGTGTGTGTGTATATATATATATATATATATAAGGCACAGTGGAGTAATGGATAGTGGCTTGGATTGAGGAATTGGAAAGCTGAGTTTGAATTTCAGTCGAAGTGTAAATAGCAGGACAGACTGGGTTTTTATAGCCTTGGGTGTCAACCGGTCTAGGAGAAAGGCAGTTTTGAATTCAAAACTTGTGGAGGGGTGTTTGGGGACCTTGCACCAAGTCTATGTATTCAGCTCTTCAAAAAGTGTGGTTGGTTCTGCACAAAGCCTTAATAAAATCCTATGTGTAGGTGTCTGGCTGTCAGTTCCTAGGAACTGAATTGCTTAATCCTCATATGTTGAATATCACTGGAGAGTGCAGCATATATATCTATATACTTTGGTGGAAATAAAACGGTTCTCAATGCAAAATAACAACTGTTAAGTAGGTATTAATAAATATACATAATACACTTACTTAATTTTAATAAAAGCAGGGCTCCTTGGAGAATTTAATTCATCAATTTATTGTCAAACTTTATTGAAAATCTGCTCTGAATTGTAAAATAAAAAATACAATAAAACTGACATTGTTTAATTAGAAAAGCTACTTACTTTTATAAATAAGATGTTAAGGATACTATTGTCTTAAAATTTTGTTTTTGATTAGTCATGAATTTTTGCAAGAATTTTTTTTTTTTTTTTTTTTTTTTTAGAATATTTAAAATTTTGGCTTCACTCTTTTTAGATGATATTAAGTAAAAACTATATTTTACTAAGCATAAATGAAAAAACTTAATACAAATCATCAAACCAATACTTTTAAAAGAATTTTTTGTTTTATTTTTTATTTATGTATAAATGTGCTGATTTTTGTAGATATGGATGATCATACACAACATTATCAGAAAATAATAGCGATAACTACAGTAAATTTAAAACCAGAAAGTATCTAACAGTCAATAAAAATTACATTATGGAAACTATTTTCTTAGTTTTAAAATTACTGAGTACTTAAAAATTATAAAATGCACTTATATTCATTTTTTTTGTTCTTAGCTAAAGCACGCACTTATGTGGGTGCTTTAATCAGCTAATATTTCTCAAATAAAGTTTCAGAATTTTTTTTTTTTTTTTTAATGGAGGATTACATTGTGATGAAAGACTACAAAAAGGGTGCTAAACAGCTATTTTAACAAAAAAATAGCTACTCCTTCTAGTAAATTTAGTTTTTGAAATACAGCAAAGTATCTTTTGGACTGTTGGATCCATTGCTAGGTCAGCTGCTGAGAAATTTGGTTCACTATGTCAACTGATACAATTTTTCTCTCAAGGATCTATCTTACATATCTATAAGTCTATTTGTGCATGCTTAGAATATTGATGCTATATATGGTCCAGTGCCCCTGCTATTTATCTTGGCCTTGATAAGATCCAAAAAATAATCTGCAATATTATTGATCCTGATCTAGTGGCTCAGTTCCAGTCATTTTCCCACTGCTGTAAGGTTACCTCTCTGTCTTTTCTGTAAGTACTTTCATTGTAATTGTTTGAATGAGCTCTTCACTATGGTACTTAGTTTTTGAATTTAAGCACAGCACAAGACTGGCAGT